ACAACCACCGTTGCTGGGACCGCTACCGAACATTACATAAAACTGTTCAGAAAAACTGCGGAAGCCGAACATGAATATCTCTCTACTACTGTCTTTGATTCTTTATGCACAGACTCCAAGAGATTTTGGTCCTTTATAAAGGAGACTCATCTGGTATTAATACTGCTCTCTGGAACGGCCAGAAACTTGTCAGCTCAGCATTTGAGAAGGCAGAGGTGCTAAGCTCGCACTATCAGTCTATTTTTACACTGAAATATCCGATGCCCTGCCTAAAATGGCAGGTGCAAAGCTCCCTACTATCCCCAACCTTATACAACCTGAGGGTATCCTGAAATTGCTTCTACCCTGTACAGATGCCATTACATAAGGCCCCTGGCCCAGATGGTATCCATCTGTTTGTACTTCGCAAATGTGCTGTAGAAATTACTCCCATACTCCATTAATTTCAAATTATTTAATCTAAGTATCAGCTCCGGTGTTGTTCCATCTGCTTGGACCAAGGCAAACATCACTGCAGTATTTAAAAAAGGTAGCCGTACTGATCCAGCTAACTAACCAGCATAATGCACTAAAGCAACTGCCAGCATGGGTTCAGAGCCAGGCGATCCTGTGAAACACAATTTCTTACAACCATACACAATATTTGGAAATACAGTGAAAACACCAAGCAAGTTGACGCTGTAGTCCTCGATTTTGTCCTACTACTACTACAAGAACAAGGCTAGGTAGTAGGTAGCTAGGGACACAAAAAATTATATCCTTCAATTGACTTCAAATATTAGTTTCACATTAATTTAATGAAAAGAACACGATGTGAGTAATCTACAGTTTAGATGACAAAAATTGGGTGAATATTTAGGGCACATAGAAAAAAAATCAGGCACACTCTAATTTTTCTATACAGGGAGGTGCCGCATTTACGGGGTATTTTTTCGAGGACTTGGTAGCAAAAGTTTGGGAAATATGGGGGAGTTGCACCATTTATGAGGTATACTTGCGAGGACTTTGTAGCACAAGTGTGGGAAATAACCAGGGTGAAATTGGTAGTTAAGTCCCTTCCTATCCTGTGTCAAAGTGCCACAATTTTCCGCACAATGTTAGCGGGAATTTCAAGCTAACCTGGGTGCTAAGCCGGTAAGCCCAAACCTAAGCCTACCTTTGGTACAGCCATGAGATCGTGACTGGACGGAACACTTTGCCATCGAGAACCAGTCAATATTGTGCCCTCTCTGGGACTATTGAGTGGCCTTTTTCCTGTTGTCTTTTAGAGCACAGTGCGATTTTGGTAAATGGTAGTTCAAGTCCATAAGAATTTTCAGTAAAATAGGTAGTGCAAGTGTCTCATGTCTTGTAGTGGCTGCGGCACCCCGTTTGGTTGGTATGCAAGTGAGCTCCCAGGGGTCTGATCTAAACAATTGGAAGAGTTTGAAGTCTGCCTAATTCGGAGCCAATTCCTTTATATTCTATGAGCATTTGGTTTTTATGCAGTTAAAATAAATGATGCGACAAAAAACATAAATAAATAAATAATTAAATAAAAAATAGAATTATTCCCACATCAATATTTCCAAAATTTTTGATGCGGGCAGGAGTGATAATCTAATAAATTTTTCTATTTGCCCTTGCAGAGTTATGTTAAATTAAAAAATAAAATAACATATTTTCCAGATTTACACATGGCGGTCTATCTTGAATTTGTGACCATATGCATGCACCGCGCGTACAGCCTAGCTTAAAGCTTAGACGCAATGCCTCCACTATCTGCAAGCGTTCTGGTAGGCTACGCGATGACACATCACTCGTATTGTGTAATAAAGTGGCTTAGACTCTACCTAGCATTGGGTATTTAAACACCGGGGCACAAAGTCTACAGTATAATTACATCAAAATATTTATTAATCTTTGATATTTTCATAATTTTTATATGAGATTAAGTTATTTAACTGGTTTTTTCTAGTTCTAAACATACCGTAAAACCTTAAATTGAAGCCCAGTGGGCTTAATCTCGAGATGAAGCCCATCTTGAATTGAAGCCCCCCTGCCTTTAGTTTGCAAAATCAGCCTCGAAAAGAAGCCCATCTCGAAATAGGCTTCTTTTCAAGATAGCATACATGTAGGCTTCTTTTCGAGATAGTACAGTACATACACTGCACATGAATTTCAAAAAATCTGTGTGGAAATTGGTCCTTATTTTCTGAATGCACGGATGGATTTCTAGGCCAAATTTGTTTGTACGGAGGGTACATTCCCTGCGCAGGACTTGCTATACATTCTGGTAAGGGCTGATTTCCGTGCCAATTTTGCCGAAAATTAAGCTTTGACATGACATAAGTAGTAGGCCAAAGGGAAGCAGGTCAACTCAGCCACAAGCCACCTTGGCCACAAGTCATAGCAGGTTATGGAATAAAATAATTTATTGAAATTAATTGTAAATATTGCTCCGCAGTTTTTGCATTCTATTTCTTCAATATGATTGAAATAAAGTACACAGTATATTGTAGTAAAATTCCGATCATCATCATGCTATCGGTCTAATCTTAATTTATTCACACTCTTCTTATTCTTAATCAACAGTGGGAAATCCACCATTTACAAAATAAAATAAAATCTGAAAATAATGCTTGAAACATTAATAACAATTTATATAATCCTAATATTTTAATTTTCACATTTATGGATGTTTTAAAATACTGACACGAGTACATGGACCTAATCATAAAACAATAAAATTATAAAAACCACAAATCCAAGTTCAGATTTCTGGGGAAAAAAAATGATTACATTTTAATCAGATAATTTTTAAAATTAATAGAAATTACGTTTTATTCTTAATCAGAATAAAATCAAATGATTTGAAATTGTTCGTGCACTTCTATGAATAGCCAACAATAGCATTTTATTTTAGAGACACGGCCAATAGTTAAAATCAGGCGGGTGGGGCGTATAAAATCTAGTAAACAATTGTGTTCATTATAAGTATATTAACATTGACAATTGATATATTGTTATTCTTGTTATTGATTAAATTTTTTCATTCATTTGTATGGTTGTTGTTGAATAAGATTTGCTAATATATTATTATTATTATTGTTATAATTATTAAATATTACCAGCATATACCTGTGCTCCGCTCGTGAAGCGGATCACCAAAAAGTAGCTGAATATGGTCTTGAAATATAGAAACCCCAGTGTATGAGATATGAGCACATTCCTGCCAGCATTTTCAAAGGAGATAGGTGAACTTACACTGGGGCGATTAGTAGAATTAGTACATAGATTGTAATTTATTTGTTACTGTAATCATTTTGATTTTCATTTCATTCCAGTATGAAATTAATCTTTTTGTAACAATTATAATCACAATATCTGTGACAGTGATAAATCAGTTTGCAATTGCTAGGGCCTATGAATAATAATGACCTCGTCATAACAGGGCAGAATCTCATTTTATATGACCAACTATGGAGAAGAAGGAACGCATGTTGGAAGTGCTGCGGCTCTTGACGACAGAGATATTGTCTACGGGCAGTACCGTGAGGCTGGTGTGCTGATGTGGCGAGGATACCCTTTGAGGAGCTTCATGAATCAGTGCTACGGAAACAGCGATGATCTCGGGCATGGCCGTCAGATGCCGGTCCATTACGGCTCTAAGGAACTCAACTTCTTCACAATTTCATCACCCCTTGCAACTCAAATGCCACATGGTAAGAACTAAACAGAATTGAAGGATTGTTTGTGGCTACTATTTTTAAATATTGATTATTCATTGTTGTTGATGAGTATAGTATTAAAGTATTAGCATTACTGTTATTACTCCTTACAGCCTCCGGTGCAGCTTATGCCCTGAGGCGTGCTGGAGCAGACATCTGTGTAGTATGCTACTTTGGAGAAGGAGCCGCCAGCGAAGGGGATGCTCATGCAGCCTTTAATTTTGCAGCTACTCTAGATGCCCCAGTCATCTTCTTCTGGTAATAACATGTCCAATCACATTTACGCACCTAACAAAAGACAATGAGAAGCACATTACTTCTGTCCTATGTTTGCTTTTTTTCACTTAAGAATGTAAATCGGCCACAATTGGTTGGGAAATGATCTGAAAATAAATAGTAGTGTTGAATTAAATGCATAACAAGGAACACTCCCCAGGGAGTGAGGAATGTTGCTCATAGTGCATGATAGATTCTTTACCCAACAACTAGGAAAAGTGCATGAGCAATGAGTAGAAAATGCATGAGTAAAAAAAATGCATGAGCAATGAGTAGATATGTGTATGCTGTATAAACATTTTTTAAATAAAATGAAAAAAAAAATCATTATTTGTATTTCAGTCGTAACAATGGTTATGCTATTTCAACACCAACAGCTGAACAATATAGAGGAGATGGTATTGGTAAGTACAGTACAGTACACTATTGCCCTCCTAAATCTTTATCTCATAGGTACCTAATACCTGTGACCATGCCCTGACAAAAGTCTCCTGATGAATTCCACTGTGCGGACGAAAGCTAGAGAGTAAATTCTATATTGTTAGTCTCAAAAGTGCTGCTATCATTTACTTTATATTGTTCTATAACAGACTAACGCGGCTACCCTTTTTATTCATCATGGTAACGTTAATATGTTAGACTTATATCGTGCTTATTGCCAGCAAGGCCTCTAAGCATTTCGAATTATTACCCCCGTTCATTGGATCAAGCACATACTGAACACATACTCAGCTCCTTAGGTAATTAGCGCATTTTGTGTTTGAACTAGGTACCAGAACTGCAACTGCAGTTCCAAACCACTCCTGCTTTTAATGAAAAAGAGCTTGATGAAATGACCACCCTTTGATTTTTTTCTTTTGATGCATAGTTGCTACAGTAGTACAATGTACTCATGCTTATAATTGTTATGTGTTTAGCTTCGCGAGGTGAAGGCTATGGAATGACTACAGTACGTGTGGATGGAAATGATATATTTGCTGTTTACAACACGGTTAAAGAGGCCAGGAAAATTTGTTTGGAACAAAGTAAACCAGTTTTAATAGAGGCTATGACATACAGGTACAATTTTGTTGGAATATAAACAAATATTAACCCTTCTTAGTTTAAATGCAGGTGACATGACTATGTCAAAATTCAGTGTATAAACAATATTAGAGCTTACATTATTGTCTGCATTTTTAATCTTTACAGTATGTTTTAACGGAAAATACTAAAATAGTTTAATATTTAATTTGTCAGTCATAACCAGAAAACTATAAGAAAGCTTATTGATATTTCTTCAAAAGTCTGTGTTGTCTGTGTCCTGAAATTTAATAGAATAAACCATATTAATTATTATACATACACATTGTTGGTAACATTGTAAATGGATGTGTCCATACATCTCCAAAAATAAGATTAAACAATTCATTGATTCAATTTGATTAATTCATTGATTGATAAGCCATCGGTTAGATGATTTTTCCTTCTAATTGGGTACCATTTATTAAACAAATGAGGGTGCTAAAAAAATAAATGAA